CCGAGTTTGCTCAGTTTCATGCTCATTGCTTCAGTGATGTTATCTAACCATCTCATCCTCTGCCGTCCTCTTCTCCTTTTGCCTTCAATCTTTCCCAGCATCAGGGTCTTTTCCAAAGAGTCCTCTCTCTGCATTAGGTGACCAAAGTATCTGAGCTTGAACTTCTTTATATATATCATGTATTCTATACTGTGTTTCCTCTCCATGCTAATGAGTGGTGTGTTTTACAGACTCACCGAGGGAACACAAGTCATTAGATACCAGGGATCTAATTCAAAGCATTCTCAAAGATGTCTGTTTGAACATATCTAGTGAGGGTGAGCTAATTACCCTCTTATGATATTGGTTCCTCTGTTGAACTGATTTTTATGATTAGAGATTTCCTAACATTCAAATGGAATCTGCCTTCCTGTTACTTGTTCTGTATTTGGCATTCTGGCTCAGTAAAAAACAAGTCTTCACCTTCTTCTTCATAAAATCTTTTGTAAATCACTATCATATTCTCCCTACTGCTATATTCTTTTTTTAGAACAAAACCAACCCCTTGTGTTTCTCCTTGCAAGCCTCAGTATCCCGGCTTTTGGGTATTCTTGTTGCCCTTCTTTGTATTTGTTCCATTTTTCCTGAATGTTTCTTAACATGGTGCTTAGATCTAGACATAATACTCGAGGCAGAATTTGACCAATGCAGAACAGAATGGAACAACGACACACACACCCTGATTTGGAAACTATACTTCTGCATTTGACTTTTTAGCAAACATGTCACACTGTTGACTCACATTTAGCTTGTGATTACAGTTTCCTATTTCTTTCCACAAACACTATTACCAAGCCTGGTATCCCTTGTCCTATATCATTGCAACTGATGCCTTTTTCCTAAGTGAAGAACTTTACATCTATCTCTGCTAAATGTCAAGCTGTTACTTTCAGTCCACCTCTGATCATCAATCTGAATTTTATTTCTGACTTCTAGGGTAGTACTAACAATCCTACCCAGTGGGATGTCATCTGGACATTTGATAACCATTCCCTTGACCTCTTTATTCAAATCATAAAGGAAAATGCTGAAACTACTGGAAATTAGGAGCAAGTGCTATGGTACTCCTTTATTACTCTTCCAGCTTAATTATTTATTTATTTTCCTTCTTTGCATATGCAAACTCTACCCGAAATCCTTAGCAGCAGGTGAAGGACTAAACACAGAGGAAACAAAGAAGTGATGGAGATTTGTACTGAAATGGCACTACTAGGGTTAAAGCTATTGCTTCAAAAACAATTGGCCCCGATATTATTGAACTGCTTCTAAACTAAGAAAGACAGAAAAATAGGCAGAAAGGGTGGGAGGAAGCTAATGATTGACTGACTGACTGACTGACTGACTGACTGACTGACAGACAGACAGACAGATAGACCAGAAGGACGGTTATCATGATCTTATACGATATCTTTAGTTAGCCCTGAAAGACTATGGTTTAGATCATGGAGAAGCCAGCATATTGACAGAGAACAGCCAAGTAAACTGTCTTTCCTAGCTTCATGCCTACCTGAGCAGATTCTGTTGGTGCTGCTGTAGGAGGTTGGGACACTGTTGTAACATCTGGCTCCTGTGAAGTGCTCAGCTTAGCCATATCTCTGACCTTTGTCCCACTGGTTGTCCCCAGGGGAGAGGCTGTCATTTCTGTTCTGGCTACAGTGGCAGTTGTTGGGGTTTCAATCATCATTGACTGTGTCATGGCAACAATTGTGATCACAGGCGGCAGGTCCCTCAGGACAGTTGTTGGTTTAGAGGTAACCGTTGTTGTCATGGAGGCTGTAGTAGCCATGGTAGACGCAGCAGTAGTAGCAATATCGCGGGCTGCAGTAGCAGCAGTAATCCCTACTGCCTTCCAGATGGTGGCCGCTGGTGCCTCTGAAATTCTGGGAATGTAGAGACCATTGGTAGCTGAGTCAGAGATAACTTCCTCTGTAGGGAGTGGTGCCAAAGGGGTGGCAACTGGTTGCACAGACATGGCAGGCAACACAGCTGAAGTGGTAGCAAGGAGGATGGGTGAATCTGTGGTGAGCCGCACAACTGTCTTGGATCCAGGGTCCTGCTTAAAATCTGCAAGAGAGAACAGGAGCACCATCTAGAAAATGACAATACTCTAGGTTACCCAAATGGAGGAAATGACCAGGAATTGTGGATTATTCAAGCTCGTTAATATTACCAGTTATAACAACTGCAATGGTACAACTGAAACAAACTGCGACAAAGATCTACAGTGGTACCTCGGGTCACAAACTTAATTCGTTCCGCGACTCTGGTTGCGACCCAAATTGGTCACGACCCAAATCAAATTTTCCCATAAGG